CAAGATCCCAAACTCATCCAGACTTTTCTCACCACCCAAAGCTCATCTCCAAGATCCCAATCCCATGATCCCCATCCCATCCAGGACTCCAAGGAGTCAGGAGAGGGGCTTGGGACAAGGACACGGAGTGCCAGGACAAGGGAGAATGGATTGAACTGAAGGAGGGGAGATTTCAATGGAATATTGGGAAAAAACCCACGGCTGTGAGGGTGGGCAGGGGCTGGGATGGAATTCCCAGATTTGCTGCGGCTGCCCCTGGATCCCTGGAAGTTTCCAAGGCCAAGTTGGACACTGGGGCTTGGATCCACCTGGGACAGTGGGAGGTGTCCTTGCCCATGGATGGGGTGGAATGGGATCATCTTGAAGTTCCCTCCCAACCCAACCATCCCATGACTCCACGAAGGACACAAATCCCGGCATTCCCACGTACCTGGCTGCTCCTGGGGCGCCCCCGTGTCCTGCTGGGAGGGATCCCAGTAGAATTCCTGGAGGGAGCGGATGGTGCACTGTCCCACCACGGGTCTCCGGCCGAAGGGGCGGTTGTCGATGATCTTCAGGATGATGGGGGGGCTGTAGAGGCTCTCCTTGGGCAGACGCTGCAGGAAGAGGGAAGGGAAGATGGAATGAGGCTGGAAAGGGAGGGCAGAGGTCCTGCACCATTCCCCAAAAATCCAAGGGCAGAAGGAACTTCACCAGAAGAATCATTTTTATGGAATTTTGAGGTCTTTCACCAGAAGAACCAATTTTATGACATGCACATGGTCCATTATTACGGGGTTCTAAGGTCTTTCACCAGATCCATTCTTATGGAATTTTGAGGTTCTTCACCCTAAAATCCATTTTTACAAGGCCGTCCTTCACAAGAACCACTTTTATGGGACTTCAAGGTCCTTCAGAACAATANATTCCCTGGAATTTTCCCTTCTCCAGGGGAACATTCTCAGCAGAGCTGTTCCATCCCTCTGATCATTCTGGTCCCACCTCTGGATCACTCCCACATTTCCATGTCCTTCCTGTGCTGGGATCCCCGAGCTGGGGATGGAATTCCTTCAAAACCCCCCCTCATTCCCTTTGAAATAACGGAAAGCCCAAGGACACTGGGGCAGCCAGCTGGAATTGCCATTTTCCTAAGCAGCAAGTGGGATCATTCCCAGAAGGAAAACGCCCCCTTCTGGCTTTATCCGCGTACCCTCATGGACTGGGGTCATCAATTAAGTGATTAATTAATTAAGCCATTCATTAGCAATTAGAAGAAAGGAAGCAATACCTACATGAGGCAGGGCCCGGGAATCCGGGATGTTAATTATTGCTGAGCTCGTCAAACCCTCGGGAAGCTACAAATTAAAATGATCCGTTATCCAAGGAATTCTGGGAACAGGGATGAACACACAGCAGCAAAAGCAACAATTAATGGGATTAATCCAAACTAATATTACCAACCCTGGGGTTTCCCAGGATGAGGCAAATTTAGGATGAGCACAGGGCTTGTTTTTAGGGATGTTAGGCAAACAGCTGGAATGAGGTAGAGGAAAACTGGGATATTAAAGGGGAAAATATGGAAAAGCTGTTAGTAATTTCCAGTGGAGCAGAGGCTTTTCCCTGGATACTGTGAGCTGCAAAGTCAAGGAGTTATCCCAGAATTCAGGGAAGGATCTGAGCCAGGGGGATTTAGAATGGGATTGGGAATGCTCAGGATCAAAGCCCAGGTCCAAGCCCGGCTCATCCTGGGCAAACCAAAAGCCGGCATCACATCCATGGGCAGGAAGTGGCAGCGCTGTTTCAGGATTCCAAGGATCCCTTGGAAGTGGAAAAGGGGGAGGAATGAGAGATTCTTCCCAGAAAACAGCCAGGTTTGAGGATCAGGCCAATCCCGACAGCATTCCCAATTATCCAGCTCAGGCTTGTTCCCAAAACCCTTCTCTGATCCAACCAGATGCAGACCGGCAGCCTTGGGCCAAATTCCACAGTTTCCGGGGGATGTTTTATTCCCTGAGGATCATTTTCCACCAGGATTCCGATAGAGAAAACTTTCCCTGAGGATCATTTTCCACCAGGATTCCCTCGTGGCTCTGGGAACAGCTCTTTTCCAGCTGGTTTATCCATGAGCAGACAGAACAAATCCCATGGAGCTGTGGAAGTCCTTCCCGACCCTCTTTCCATGGAAATGAACCCTCGGAAAACACCAGGAGCAGAGCAGGCAGGACAAGGCCTGATCCAGCAGCCTCTTCCACAAATTCCACCTTCCCAGAATCCCGCTCCGTGTCCTTTTCCCAAAGAACCAACCTAGACAGGATTAGCCGGGAAAAATCGCTTTTCCATGATTTTTTAGGTTTTTCCTCGCTTTGGGTGACCAGGATGATTCCCGTGCACTTAAACTGGTTTTAAACTCCATCTGAACTCCTGATCCTGCTCGGATGAGATGGATAACGCGCTCCCAAACCTTGGAGCAGAGGGATTTCACCTCTGGTTGTTTTCCCAATTTTCCAGGGAAAGCAACAAAGGGATCCTTTGTTCCAACCATCCTTTGGAGCAGGGACCAAAGCCAGGCTTGGCAAGGAGGGAGAAAAACTCCGGAGCCACACAAGGAAACGCATCCATAAAAAATCTTGGCTCCTGCTTCCAAAGAGCCCTGAGCACGAGCTGCTGGCCTGGGATCCCTCCCTTTTCCCAGGAAAGCAGAGCAGGGAATAGTCCTTGACCTGCCAAATCTGGCCGGGGATGGGCGGAATGATCCCAATGGTCCATCCACGCCTCAATCCATGCCCACCTCCAGGAGAGGAGAAGCTTCCAGGGCCAAAATTCCCAGGTGGGAATTTCGGGTTGGCTTTCCAGGAAGAAGCTCCCTCCTTTCCCAAAATAACAGGAAAAACAAGGAAAGAAACAAACGGAGAAGGACGAATCCGGGGTCAAACTGAAGAACTCCATTGGTGGCAGGGGGATTGTTTGGGAAATGTTTTTTCCGGGAAAAAAATGCTGGAATTTTCCACTTTGGAATGGTTTTGTCACATCCCTCTCTCCCTTTTTCTACTGTGCAAACTCTTCCCTAAATTTGATATGGGCTTGGAGTTTCCAATAAAATTATCCCAGGGAACAAAGCTCCAGGATTCCAAAGCTCCTTCTCATTCCTTCCTCTGGAATCTTTGGGATGGGATCCCACATTCCTGGGAGCAATTCCCAGAGTTCCAGGGGGTATAAAGGGAGGTGAGTCCCTATCCAGAGGTTTTATTCCCAAAGGAAAATGTGGGAGCAGGTTGGCCACCAATGTGATTTTCCATGAATAAACCATGGAAATCTGAGCAGAGAATTCCAGGGATTTGTGGGCATGGCCAAACCCATTCTGGGCATCCCAGGGTGTTCCCCCCATCCTGACCACTCAGAAAAATTACTTCCCTGGTAAAAGATGAAGCCCAGCTGTAAATTTTAAGGATAAATCCTTAAATGGGAAACAAAAAGGAGGGAATGAGGCTGCTTTCCCAATTTCCCAATGCTCCAATCAGGAGCATTTTCGGGAGCTGCTTTTCCCTTTCCAAACTTTTCACCGGAGCCAACTTTTCCCAGTTCTCCTGTCCCGTTCCCAATGGAGGCTCAAGGATTTCAGGACAAGATCCCAATGGAGCTGTGAATAGGATCATAGAATCATAGAATGATTTGGGTGGGAAGGATCTTAAATCCATCCCGTTCCATCTTTTCCATGGGCAGGGACACCTCCCACTATCCCAGGTTTCTCCAAGCTCCATCCAACCTGCCCTTGGACACTTCCAGGGATGAGGATTTGGAATGAATGGGAATGAGCAGGGCCACATCCACAGTTTTTTTGGGGAATTAGCCAAATTCCGGATTCCCAACTTGATGTGGGACCCAGCCCGTGTTTGGCTTGGGATAAACCACACATATCCAAAAGCACCAGAAAATCCTTGGGAATAGAAACTCCCAGGAGTCACCAAGGACGTGGATAAAGAGCAGGATCCATGCCCAGGTTGGACATCTTGGATTCCACAGCTCCTCCATCCCTGGAATTTCTCAAGGCCAGGGAAACTGAGGCAGAAAGCACCTGGAAGGCTGATTCCTTCCGGAAACTCCAGCTTTTCCAGTCCTGCGGCATCCAGGAATAGGGAGAAGGGAAATTCCGGCCCTTGATATCCCACCAAGGCATGGGAGACTGGGAAAAGCTCCACCAAAGATTCCTGACACCATTCCCAGCTGCTCCAGAGGCACCGGGATCACCTTGGGATCCGTGCATCCCACACATAACTCAGCACAGGTCTATCCCAAAGATTCCTTCTGCTGGAGAAGGAATCCAAGGACTGTGGATACAGGAAGTTTCTGGAAGAACAAAAGATTCAGGGATGTTTCCATCCTGATCCATTCCCAAGGGAATGCTGAGACCCCTCAAATTCATTGGAACTGCACCAATTCCCACTCCCACCACAATGGATTTGGGATTTGGGATTCCACAATCTCAGTTCAGTAAAATTCCTGCAAACCAGGAGCCAAACTGGGAAAAGGAGACCCGGCCATGGAGCAAGGATGACGGAGCCTCAGGGAATTTTTGCTTTCCTTGGGAAGAACCTGGCATGGATTTCTCTCCATCCAGAAAGCAAATCCAGCCCCTCATTCCCAAGAGAGGGAATGAGGAGGAGTTTGGGGTTGCACAGGTGAGGAGAGGAAGGAAAAACGCGTGAAAGTTGGAAAAGGATGGATCCAATGGTGGATCCGGCCCCACATCGGCACCTCGGATCCACCCTCACCAGACCCACAGAAAGAATCCGGGATTTTCCCAGCGCGTTTTCCATACCTGGATGGGGATCAGGGGCTCTTTGTCATCGATGTCGATGAGGACATCGTCCCTGGGCGTGAGGCTGACGTCATCTGCAACCAGAGCAGGACGGCACCGTGATCCCAGGATTTGGGAATCCCGGAGCCCAGAAACTGTGGTATCTACCTCCAGGAGTGATCCCAGTTTCTCCTTGATCCCATCTCCATGATCCCAAACCCATCCAGGCCCCTCAGACCATCCAAAGTTCATCTCCATGATCCCAAACTCATCCCAGACACTTTGCACCATCCAAAGTTCATGTCCATGATCCCAGACACTTCCCACCATTCAAAATTCTTCTCCATGATCCCAAATTCNTCTGGATTTTTCCCTTCTCCAGGGAACATTCCCAGCTCTCCCAGAGCAGATGGGCTCCAGAATCCTGGAAAGTTCTGGGTGGGAAGTGACCTTAAATCCCACCCCATCCATGGGCAGGGACACCTCCCACCATCCCAGTGTGCTCCAAGCCCCAGTGTCCAACCTGGCCTTGGGCACTTCCAGGGATCCAGGGGCAGCCACAGCAAATCTGGGAATTCCAGCCCAGCCCCTGTCCATCCTCCCAGGGCAGAATTCCATCCCAAGATCTCACCCATTCCTGACCTCTGGCACTTTAAACTCTTCCCCCTCCTCATTAACGCCCCAGCCTGAGGCAGATCCCGGTGAAATCCAGGACCTCCCTCACACGCTCCGCACGGAGCTGGATTTTTTTGGCTGGAAAAGCTATTTTCCAAGATTTCCCCAGCTACAGCCCCTGGGCCTCATTCCCAGCTCCTGCTTTTGTGCAGAGCTCCTGAACCATAAAGGAGAAGGAGGTGGGAAGGAAGATTGGAACCCAGTTTTCCAAAACCAGGATGGTTTTCCTGAGGAAACATTCCCATCTTTCTGCAAACTGGGGTTTATCACATTGACTCCCATTCCTGGAGAATCCTGGATGAACCAGGACAATTGGATGGTTTATTCCCACCTAATATTCCCATAGTTTGATTTTAAATTAACGCTTTGTAGCTTTCCCCTCTTTTTTATTTTTTTCCCCTGGATTTTCTTTGTCCTATACAAAAAACACATCCATGGAAATTAAAAATGTGGATGGACAGCGGGATGGGGGGGTTATTTCAGGAATTTTTGCTTCCATAGTTGGGATCCCAGCACTGCCACCTCTCTGGGATGAAGAAATCCATCCACTGGAAAATATTTGGATCCCTGGAAGTGTCCAAGGCCAGGTTGGACACTGGGGCTTGGATCCACCTGGGATAGTGGGAGGTGTCCCTGCCCATGGAANTATCCCATCCCTTGTTTCCTGCCCTTCATCCTTATCCCATCCCTCATTCCCTGAGCTTCATCCCTATCCCATCCCTTGTTTCCTGCCCTTCATCCTTATCCCATCCCTCATTCCCTGAGCTTCATCCCTATCCCATCCATTGTTTCCTGCCCTTCATCCTTATCCCATCCCTGCTACCTTGGGAGCAGATCCCTACTCACCCAGCTCCACCTTCCCGTCAGGGAATTGTGAAGAGCCAGAAGCTCCCCCTGGAGCCTCCTTTTTTTTTGGAATCCCAGCCCAGAATCTATCTTGGATCCCATTCCCGGCTGTCATTCCCGGATCCGTGGCTCACCTCGATGGCCGTGCGCTGCAGGACGGGCTTGATTCCCTGCGGGACCATGTAAACGTTGGGCTCCCGCTGCGGCGGCGGGTAGGGAAGGTCGGAATCCGCGGACTGTGGGAGCAGAGAGGGAAAGGAAAATGTCAGGAAGCACCAGGATGGGACATCCAACCCCTTTCCAGGTTGGATCCACCCAGAATCTCCATCCTTGCCAAACTGATCTCTCCCGGGAAATCCAGGACAGCCAGAGGAGAGAGGTGAGGAATGGCAGGATGGAGGTGCCGGAAAAGTGGTTCAATGTCTTTAATCCATCCTGGAGAAGATCCAACATTCCTGAGGTTTTCCCAGGGATCAAGAAATACAAAGGATCTGCCCTCCAAGGTTAAACTTTTTTTAGGGAATGACAGGATGGAATCACCTCTATCCCATCCCGGGATCACAGTGGGATGAGGAAAGGGATGAAGCAGCAGCGGCGGGTTTGTAGTTGGGAAATTCCCAAAAAGTTTAGTGGGAGCAGCACCGTGGGATGGGGGATTGGCATCACCTCTGGATCTGGGAAGGGGCTGTGGTTCATCCCACACTTCATGGATAATCCAGAAATCCATGGGATAGGGCTCAGGAGAAACTACCTGGGAATTCCATTGGGATCATCCCAAATCTGCGAGGCAGCCGAGGAATTCCAAATTTTGCCTTTCCGGAGGAGGAGAGTGGGAGCCAGAATTCCTCCCCTTTTCTTTTCCTGCATCTCCCAGAGCCCCCGGAAAGGCCGGAATGAAAGCAAAACCTCTGGAAATCCATCCCAGGAGCATGGAATTCTCTCCAAGCTGGAATTTTATTGGACTCAATGACGTGTGGGTGTGTTTTAATTACGGGACTAGGTGAGGGATTGGTTTTCCAAAGGGATTTTCCACATGGAATCATGGAATGGTTGGAGTTGGAAAGGGCCTTAAGGATCATCCAATTCCAACTCCCCTTCCCATAAAATTCCAAGTTTTAATTTTCCTTGGGAATTTTTGGTTCCTGAGTCCAGCTGCTTGTTAGAAGGAGGTTTTTGGGAATTCCATGTGGGAAGATGTGCCTGGGATTCCCACATGGAGCAGACACTCCTCCATTCCATGATCCAAGTGCTCCCAGCGCGGGTTAGTGCTGTCAGGGAATGGGAATTTTATCTGGGATAACCCGAAGGAGAAGGGAGAGCTGCAGAGAATTCCCACATTCCCTGGGTTACCTCTGGAAATCTAATTCCCAAAAAAATTCATTTCAGGCTGCTCAGGCCCGAAATCATGGAATGGTTTGGGTTGGAAGGGATTTTAGAGATCAATCCTTCAGCAAATCCAGTGGGAAATCCTTGGCAAAGAGCTCCTGCCCCGTCCATCCTCTCCAGGATCAACTTGGATTTTAACCCTGCATCGTCATTCCAGGTTTTTTTTAAGTCCTTCCTGTTGCTCTCCCAGTGGTTTTCCAGGCATCCTCCTGGATTCCAGCTGAATGTCAGAGGATGGAATGCTGGAATGGATGGGAATGAGCAGGGAATGCCAGGAATGAGGCGGGAGCACAGAAGGATCAGGATGGGAGTGGGAAAAAAAATTCCCAGACAAAGCTGGCTGGAGGGAAGAAAATCCATGAAAATCCTGCTGGGAGCCAGGATGGGTTGAACAAGGATAAATCCAAGGGAATCCAGGTGGCAGGGAACTCTGGAGATCATTGATTCCATCCCGGATTTGTATCCGGGAAAATCAACATGGATGAGGCCAAAAAAAAAAAAAAGGCTGGAAAAGATTCCCAGTTTAAATGGAAGCTGGAATGCGATCCAAAGATAAATCCCAGAGTTCAGAGGGAATTCAGCCACAAAAGGCCATTCCCAAGAAAAAATGGATAAGGATGGAGCCATCCCGGTCCTTCAGGAGCATCCATGGGGCACCGGAGACTCCAGGTGGCACCAATCCTTAGGAATTTTGTTGGGATGGGGTTCCTGCAATCCTGCTCTCCCTGAAAGGCTCTGCCAGGATTTTCTTGGATTCTGGGAAAAGGGAAGGAGAGGGAAGAGAGCGATACCCATTGGAGGAGCCCCTCCGAGAACAAGGCAGGGATGCAGAGCTGTGGAATGCCCCATCCCGGAATTCCGGCAGTGGGAAGAAATGGAGGAAAAAAAAAAAGGAGAGAGATGATTATGGACACATGGAACAGCAGGATGAGCTCCCAGGAAAGCTGGTTTGGGTGGGAAAAAAATCTTGGAAAAATGTGCTTATGCCATCCAATCCAACCTTTCCTGGGAATGTGGCTCAGGTCTTTTCTAGTTCATCTCCCAAATTTTGGGATTAACGGCTCCGAGGGCCACCACAACATTCCAAGAGTTGTTCCCTTTCCCTGCCTGGAGGGAAAAGATCCCAACTGTGGCTTCAGCCTGGGATTGGCTCCATGGGATGTAGAGGGATAAAGTCTTGGGATCCTGGGTGTGGAATAAGAATCATGGGAATGATGGAATCATGGAATACTTTCCATTGGAAAACTCATCCCATTCCATGGGCAGGGAACCTTCCACTATCCCAGGTGGCTCCAAGCCCCATCCAACCTATCCCTGAATTCTTCCCAGGATGAGGGACGAAAATTTCCTTTGGAACAACTGGAACAGTCCAGCACATCCTCGATTCACAGCAAATTCCCTATTGAAAGTTTGGAATTGGGATTCCCTATGGAAAGTTTGGAATTGGGAGTATTCCGGCCTTGGCACGCCCGGGTTGAGAGGATGGGACACCTCATTCCAGAGGGGAAATGGATCCCAACATTCCTGGCCATGAGGAAAAGCCCATCAGGCCAGAGGTCACTCATATTCCCAAAATCCTGATGCTCCCAGCTTGACCCATCCGGGAAAAAGAGGATTTCCCAAAGTAACAAATTTGAACAATTCCAAGATGAAAATATGGAATTCCCAAAGACTCACCTCATCCAGACTGGAGGAGAGCTCGCTCTGGGAAAGAAGAGAAGACAGAATTAGAGGAATTCTCATCCCTAAACCCATCCCAAGGTTTATAATTGGAGCTGATATCCAAAAGGAATCATGGAATGGGTTGGGGAGGAAAAATCCTTGAATCCAATCCAGGATGGGAACCCACACCTCCCACTATCCCAGGTGGATCCAGCCTGGCCTTGGGCACTGCCAGGGATCCAGGGGCAGCCACAGCAAATCTGGGAATTCCAGCCCAGCCCCTGCCCACCCTCCCAGCCAGCAATTCCTTGCCAAGATCCCAGCCCAATCTCCCCTTTCCCAGTGGGAGCCATTCCCTGGCTCCTGTCCCTGCAGGCCTTGTCCCCAGTCCCTCTCCAGCTCTCCTGGAACCCCTCCAGGGACTCTGAGGATTCCCTGGAATTTTCCCTTCTCCTGGGGAACATTCCCAGCTCTCCCAGCCTGGCTCCAGAGCCTTTGGAGCATCTCCATGGCATCCTCTGGATCATCCTGGAATGGGATGAGTTTGCCCTGTCGGGAAGGAGCTGGCCCACTCCCAGTTTTCCTTATCAGCTGAGGAAAATCGGAATCTCTAAACTTTAGGATTTCTTTTATCCTAAAAGAATTCCCTAAGACAGGATGGAGGGATTGCTGCAGGGCTGGAAACACCTCCAAATCCCTGGGAAAGCTGGGAATGGTGCTGGATTTGCAAGGAGGAGTTGGGAATTACCTCAAATCCAGGGATGTGATGAACAGCCGGCTGCAGGGAGAGAACACAATTCCCATTAACATTCCCACTGCTAATTCCTCTTTTTCCAGGAGGGAAACTTCAGTCCCTTCCATTCCAAGCTCTAAAAATCCTGGATTCTCATCCAGCATGCAAATCCACCCAGATGATTCCCACTGGGATCAAACAGTGTGCTCTGGGAGCACATCTCATTCCAAGGCTTTTCCAAGGCCTTTCCCACCCATTTCTGTGGGAATGAGGAGGAGGAAGAAGCCACATGTGGATATTTGGGTCCTTGTCCCGGTGTTTGGGCTGGGATTTCCAGGGAAGAGGGAATTGTGGGATTCCCATTCCCAGATAAACCTCAGGGCTGGGAAGGAAGAGTGGGATACAGGGACTGAGCTTCCCAATCCATCCCTTTTTCCTGGCACATCTGGGATGCAGCCATTGGAAAAGCTGGAGTGGCTTCAGCTCTCCTAAACCCCCTCCAGAAATAATTCCAAGGAAAGGGCAGCATTCCTTAGGGATTTGGCAATTCCCAGCTCCCTCGATATCCATGAGACCTCCCCAGGACTTGTCCAAGGAGAGAAGGATCCATCCAGCCCATCCCACCTGGAATTCTGCAGTTTTCCATCAGGCCAACCCTAAACCACCTCTTTTCCCTCCTGGAAAACCTCTTCCTATGGAATTATCCCTCAAAAAGGGACAAATCCCAAATCCCTCTGATTCTTCACAGGCTCCAAAGGCACCAATGGAAAACCCACTGCCTGGAAAAGCTGGATCCTGAGGAAGAAATGGAATTCCGGAGCATTCCAGGCTCAGGGATGGATCTCACCTTTTCCCTCTGGATCAGCTCGAAGGCGGCCAGGAGCTCCCCGACATTCCGGCCGGATTTGAGGACGGGGTACCAGGAGAGCCGGGGCGAGCGCTCCAGGCTGGGCCGGCAGATGCAGCGTCCCATGAATTCATCCGCGCCCTGGAAAGGGAATTCCAGGGAGTTGGGAACCATGGGAATTGGGATCTTCCTTCCCATCCCTTTTCCCAGAGAAATCCATTCCCCTTCAGCCAAAAATCAGGAGCAAGGGATGATCCTGTTATGGGATTGGGGCAGGGAAAATGAATAGGATTGGTGCTCATAGAGTCTCCAGTTTTCCAACTCCTCCCTGGAATTCCTAAGGCTGGAAAAACACCTTTTTAGGAGAAAAACACCTTTTTAGGAATTCCTATCCTATGTTTTCCAGAGCAGGAACACAGAGCCTTCATCAGCTCCTAAAATCCCATTCCCTGCTCCGCACTCGGATTTTTTTGAATCTTTTCTGCTGGGAAGGAGCAGGAGAGAGGTAAAAAGATTCCTGAGATATTCCCAAGCCCTTCCCAAGGTGTATTCCAAGTGATTTTCCACAGAATTCCCTGTTGCACTTGGTTTCTCCAGTTTTTTTTTCCCAGCTTGGTTTTTCTGGGAAAAATCTCAAGTTCCTGCCACTGACCCCCCAAAATTCCATCATTCCCAAGTCCTTTGGACATGGCAAATAGCAGAGGGAGTTTCCCTACTTCCATGCCTGCATCCAACTTTATCCCAAAGTTTTTCCATGAGGAAACTCTGTTAATTTCCCCACTTTAAATGACAACAAGGAAGCTCAATGAATGAGACCCCAAGGACACCACAGGGTTTTCCCTGGAATCTTCTCCCTCTGGAAAGTCCACCCCAAAGCCCAAACCACCCAGAGACGCCGGACATCACACATTCCAGAGGCTGGGAATTCCCACACTCACATAGGTGTCGTGGTCATAGATTTCCACCAGGATGTTAGGAGGGGACTCAGCCACATCCTGAGAATTCCCGAAAATCTCGATCTCGTAGAAGATCAGGGTCTGATCCCAGGTGGGATTCAGGGTGTTCTTCTCCACCACTGTCTTCTGGCTCTGGTGCAGGAAGGACACGATGGCGTAGGGATCTGCGGGAATGGGATTCAGGGATTGGGATTCAGGGATGGATCCCAGCTCTGGCTCTCACAGAATTCCAAGCCCCATCCAGAACCGGCTCCCAAAGAATTTGGGAATTCTCAGCTGGCTCCATCTCACCCTGAGTTCCCTCAGGTCTTGCTTGAGGAGAAAGGAGCTGCCCAGTGCATCCCACCTGGAATTCAGCATTCCAAGCCCAAACTGCCAGGTTTTCCAGGTGGTTTTCCAGCTGGAAGGGCTCAGTCTGAGAGTTGGGATTGTTCTAAAGATCCAGGGAAATCTTGGAGCCGCTGCCAGGGCCTAAAGGGGCTCCAGGAGAGCTGAGGAGGAATTTGGGACAAGGGAAGGAAGGACAGGAGCCAGGGAATGGCTTCCACCGGGAAAGGGGAGATTGGGGTGGGATCTTGGGAAGGAATTCCTGGCTGGAAGGTAGAGGAGCATCCCCCACATCCCTGGATGAAGATTCCAGGAACATCCCACATATCCCTGGGGGCTTTAATGGGAGCCAAAGGATGCAGATCCTCGGATTATCCCACACCTCCCTGGATTCAGATCCCAGGATTATTCCACAAATCCCGATTATTCCACAAATCCCTGGGTGCAGATCCCAGGATTATCCCACACCCATGGTTTCAGGTGCAAGGAACACCCCACACACATCCCAGGATTCAGCTCCCAGGAACATCCCACATTCCTGGATTCAGATCCCAGGATGATCCCACATCCCTTGATTCAGATCCCAGGATTATCCCACAAACCACTGGATTGAGATCCCAGGATGATCCCACAAACCACTGAATTGAGATCCCAGGATGATCCCACAAACCACTGGATTGAGATCCCAGGATGATCCCACACCCCCTGGAAGCAGGGCCAGCTGATCTCAGCAGCATTCCCCCTTTTCCCCCCATTTTCCAAGGAATTGGGGCACCAGGGGCTGGATTTCTCCCTCTATCCACACTCAACAATCCAGGACCACTCAGACATTCCCAAAAACCCACTCTGGGAAGAGCCTTTCTCACTTTTCCTCAGCCAAATCCATTACAATAAACAAAAAACCCTGGATTTGGAGTTGCTTTTCCCTTTTTTTTTTCCCATTTTTCCCTCCCTTCTCCTCCTTTTTTTTTTTTTTCATGGAAGCCTCTCTAAAGCCCCTTTGTTGGGAGCAGGGAATGTTTATTTTTCCAACTGCCAAGCCCCTTTAATGAACTCCTTTATTCCCGGCAGCGGGAATCACAATCCCACATTGTGGAACGCTGCTTCTCGTGTTGTCCTTGGCCGACATTTTTCCAAAGGAAAACGATTCCGGACTCCCCTCCCGGGCCATGAGCTCACCTCGCTCCCACCTCCTCATCCCAACAAGGAGCCTTTTGTGGGAATTCCAGGTGGGAACAGGCACTGGGGGATTTTTTTTTTTTTTTTTTTGGATGCTCTGGGGTGTTTATTCCCAAAAAATCACATTATTCCAACCACAGGGAAAAGCAGGATTCCCTCAGGATCACGGTCCAGCTGCTTCCCCAGTTTTGGGATTGACCCTGTTTCCCTTCATTCCTGGGATGTGTTGGTCCAAGTGGGATTGAAATCCCAGAATTTAGAGGGAAATCCCACCCAAATCCCTCTGTAAATTCTCATGGGAATCGAGCAGGGATAGCCCCGGAGGGATGTTGGAGCTCTCCCACCAGTGGACTCTTTTCCCAGGATTTGGGACATTCTACGTTATTCCAGCTCTGATCTAGAGGAGGTGACATTCCCTTTTCCCGCTTTTCCAGCTGCAAAGCATTAATGGGAATTCCTGGCTGGGATGACCCAGCCTCCAGGGATGAGGATGTGGAATTTTCTGGCATTCCATCCCCCCCCAACCACATTCCAAAGGGATGTTCCACCTGCATCCAACCATCCAAGCACCTCCAGCACAGAAATCCCATGGATAAAAGGATTTCTCCTATTGTGGCTTCTTTCTTATCCCAAAAATCCATAGCGCGGGAAGTTCCGACTGCACCAGCACAATCCTGGGAATTTCAGAAATCCCTGGAGCTATGCTGGGAAAGGGCGGAGCAGCAGGACATGGAAAACTCCTCCACAAAGGCCAGCCCCTGTTTTCCACCTGGATTCCCTTTTTCCCACGGAAATCTCCTTCCTAAATCATAAATCCCAGGGACTGTTGCCCCACTGTGCAGCTGGAATAAGGGGGACGCTAAGGAATTATGGAGTCATGGAGTCATGGACTGTTTTGGGATGGAAGGAAACCTAGGGATCATCTGGATCCAACCCCATGGGCTGGGAACCTTCCACTGGATCAAATCCAACAAGGAATTTCCCGAGGATGCTGGAGAAGAAGGGGCCAGACTGTGCTGATGTCCTGATAAAATCCTGTCACCCTCCGGAATTTTCCCCGGGCAAATCCCATGGAAGTGTCTCCCTGTGCTCCATCATATCCAGCCTGGAGAGTGAAAGGCTACAGAGATTCCTTGGAGCCCATTCCAGACCTGGAGGGGCTCCAGGAGAGCTGGAGAGGGACTGGGGACAAGGGATGGAGGGACAGGAGCCAGGGAATGGCTCCCACTGGGAAAGGGGAGATTGGGCTGGGATCTTGGCAAGGAATTCCTGGCTGGGCTGGAATTCCCAGATTTGCTGTGGCTGCCCCTGGATCCCTGGCAGTGCCCAAGGCCAGGCTGGATGGACTTGGATCCACCTGGGATAGTGGGGAGAGTCCTGGCCCATGGATGGTTCCCCTCTGTTTCTGGAATTCCACCCCGGTGTGGATCCGGACTCACCGGAGAAGCTGTCCTTGTCCATGGCAATGAGATCCCGTGCCTGGTACAGGTAACAGCGCAGGTGGAATCTGTTCCCGGCTGGGGGAAGAACGGGAAACATGGAAAAGATCCCAGGGAGATTCCATCATTCCTCATCTCCCATCTGAGAGAATTCCAGCTTAATCCCTCCAGGATATCCCTAGCTCCGATCCTGGAGCCTGTGGATGTTCCCATAAGCACTGTCCTCCCCTCCCCTTTTTCCATTTTTATTTTTCCATCCTTTTCTGGGAAAAGGATGGGAAATGCCTTTCCCGCTCCCCTGGGGTCCTTACAGTCAAAAATGCAGGAGATCGTGGGTCTGTTCACTCCGAAACTCAGGGTGGATGCGGATTTTCCATCGGATTTTCCGTCGTCGCTCTTGTCATCGGTCACTCCTCCCTGCAAGGAAAACAATGGAAAGTCAGGAATGCTGGGATCATCCCCAGAGCCAGGATTCCCCATGGGATGGAATTCTCTGGGGTGTCCAAGAGGAGTCTGGGCTTCCAGTGTTCCCCAGAATCCTAAAATTTAGGTTGGAAAAGCTCTTGGAGATTCCTGAGTGCTCCTAATTCCCCATTGGCCTTGGAATATTTGCGGGAAAAGAAGCAATTTCCAAGGCTGAGAATTCCCGCTTGCAGATCCCATGGGAAAAAGGGGAATAGGAACAATCCTGCCAGGAGCTCTGGGGGTGAGAGGCAGCCGGGATCCCCGGAGATGGGAACAACTCATGGAAAACACCATGGAGCCGCTTTGATCCCGAAGAGATCAACTCTGGATTGGAGGGAAAGACAGAGCAAGGAAAAAGGGGGGGAAAAAGCCAAACGGGAGAGGGAAAAATTCCATAAAAACACAGAATGGGAGCTTTGTACTGCTTTGGCTCTCATGGAATCATTGGAAAAGGAGCGGATTGGAAAATCCAGAGTGTGGAGACAGTCAGGAGCACAGAGGGAAAGCAGGGCAAAAACAGGGAGGATAACAGGATAGCGGGAAACAGATAACGAGCGGCCGATAACATTTCCAGGCAGAAATTTGGGAATGGGAGAAGGTGTTCCCTACCAGAGCCCCTTCCAAGGCAAAGACAGCGGCGGGGCCGGTGCGTTCCAGAGGCTCCATCCGGCGTCTCCAGCGGCGCCGGCGGAAGGCGTCAGAGCGGCGCTGCTGGAGGTGGAAGCGCCAGCCAAAGAGGGAAGCGTATTCCCAACCATCCCCATCCAGCTCCTCCTGCTTGTGCTGCCAGACAGGGATCACAGGGATCAGGTTTTCCAGGATTGGCCCAAAAGCTGGGTTTAGGGTTTTTCGGGATGTTGTTGGATATGGTTGTTACACCCCAGGTTTTCCCTGTGTCTCCTCCAGATTGGAGTCATGGAATGGAGTCATGGAATAATTTGGAGAATCATAGGAATTTCAGGTTGGGAAGGATTTCTGAGGTCATTTGGTTTCAGTTGGGAAAGGCCCTGGAGATTGTCATGGAATCATGGAATTATGGTTTGGGATGGAAGGGACTTTAAAGCTCAGCCACTTCCAGGGACACCTCCCACCATCCCAGGGTGCTCCAAGCCCCAGTGTCCAACCTGGCCTTGGGCACTGCCAGGGATCCAGGGGTAGCCCCAGCAAATCTGGGAATTCCAGCCCAGCCCCTGCCCACCCCCCCAGCCAGGAATTCCTTGCCAAGATCCTGTTTTTCCCTTTGCCATCATCCCGACCCCTCCCATGACTCTGCCACCTCTGGAATTTCTCCCTGGATCATCCACCCCAAGCCCTGGAAGGTTTTTCTCCCGGTGACACCCACAGCAAATGGGGTGACAGTGGCTAAAATTTTCTGGGAAGGGAGACAAGTGGCCTTGGGAAGCGGCGGGAAGGACCGAGGAGCGGAAGTGGCATTCCCGGTCCAATGGCACCATCTAGAGGGAAGCGGGATAGGGACAGGCTGGGGACACCGGCCCTCTCCCATTTCCCACACTCCTGGACTTTCCTGGATGTCCCCATCGCACCCCACATCCCAGTCAATCCCTCCGGAATGTTCTCCACCCCTGGAATGTGGCGTTTTCCACTGGAAACCGGGGCAAGCCTCCCTCAATCTCCAAGGAAAAGCAGATCCTGCCAAAGCCAAGCACCCACCCGGAGGGACAGGGCCACATCCCGATCCTGTGGCACCTTTTCCCGGCCATTCCCACCTTTCTCCCGGCTCCCATGTGCTCCAGGTCGCGCCGGCGGAGCCGCACCCAGCGCCGGCGCCGGTTGGTGTGGAACATCTTCTCCGCCGGCACCCAGGCCTTGGGCTTGCGCTCCGGCGGGATCGTGATCCCGTATTCCCAGCCTTGGGAAGAAGGGAATACCTGGTGGAGGCGGGAGAAGAGCCTCCCTCCCCACACCTTGGCTCCCACCAGGAATTTACAACAGTGAAGGTGTAGCTGAATCCAGCAAAATTTTCCAGTTGGATTTCCCTCCTTACATCACAATCCAGCCTTCTGGAATGCCCAGGGATGGATCCGTGGAGTCCTTGGCTCCAAATCCCACCCTGGGGACTCTTCCCTCACTCCCCTCCAGCCATTCCAACCCCCAGGACCATTCCAGCACTCTCCAGCCTGGTGTTTTCCATTTCTTTTCCTCCAGGGCCTTCCCAGATTATCCCAGCACTGCCTTTTGGAATTCTCATCCCACAGCTCCAGGCAGACAAGGAAAAAGGATCCCCCAGAGCCTGATCCCTTCTCCTGATCCAGTTCCCACAGCCATGGGAATGTTTTCATCCACAGACCATGGAAAGAAATCCCAAACTTCCTAAATCCCAGATCCCAAAATTCCCAAATCCCAGGATCCCAAAATTCCGTCTTTGGTACCTTTCTCATCCACAGCCCTGTTGAGATCCGTGTCCCATTCCACATCTTCCCACTTCCAGCCTGGAGGACACTCGATCTCATCCTTGGGCAGGACCTTCTCCCCGTTCTGTGGGACACAGGGAATTCTCACCCAAACCGATCCCTAAATTTCCCCTGGGATTCCAGCCCGGCTCCCAGAATTCCCAGTTTTCCCTCACCACATCCGTGTAGGAATCAGTCATGTGGATCCACTGCCCTCCGGGGAGCCGGACCTGGTTCTCAAACACCTCCTCCACGAAGCTCAGGTGCCCAGCATCCACATCGTGCAACAGCCTGAATCCCAGGAATACCCAAAATCAGGGATTCTCCACCCCACTTTCCTCCTGTGCCGTCCTCAGCGCTCCCAAATTTCTCCCACCCCTCTGAGCAAAATTCCTCCTTAGGAAAAACCCAAACCAGGATGAAAATCCCACCCCACAAATCATCAGTTTTGGAGCATCCCAAGATTTGGATGAGGGGGAATCACATCCATGGACACAGACGAGGAACAACAGGGGGCATCCCAGATTTTGCCACCAGATTTTGGGATTCCCGGGAATTCCCAGTGGAAAAGCCCCACTCACGTCTTTTCTGGACAGATGAACCAATCCCCAGCCCAGGTCCATCCTGCGGAAGGCCGGAAGCTGTCCTTGGGAAGCTTGATCCGGCCGGTGACATCGGAATATTTGGGATAAGTGAGGCCGGTGGTGCCCCAGTTCCCCACCAGCGCCAGCTTGGTCTGGTTCTCATACTGGGAGAGCCAAGAAAAAGATGGATTTGGGGTCAGAATTACAGAACTCCATGAATAATCCCATAGAATCCCATGAATAATCCCAGCAGAGGGACAGATCCGGGAAAAGCCCAACCCATTCCACAGCATCCCAATTTTCCCATTGTGAGGGACAACACACAGTTCCATGGCTCATTCCCAACTTTCCCCTCAGCATTCCAGTCTGAGATGGTGGGAATAGCTCCCCCTTCCCACAGTTTTTAGGGAATGATGAGGTTTTAGGTCCAGCCCACCCCCTTTTCCCATCAGGACAGGGATCCTTTGGGAATGTGATGAGGTTTTAGGTCCAGCCCACCCCCTTTTCCCACGAGGATGGGGATCCATTGGGAATGTGATGAGGTTTTAGGTTCAGCCCACCCCCTTTTCCCATCAGGACAGGGATCCTTTGGGAATGTGATGAGGTTTTAGGTCCAGCCCACCCCCTTTTCCCGCCGGGATGAGGATCCCTTGGGAATGCTCACAGTTTCAGCGAAGACGGAGAGTTTTCCCTCGGCAAATTGGTTGAATTCCTTCTCATCCACGGCCAATCCGAACCAGAGCCGCACCCGGATCTGCGCCGGGATCCGTGGCCCCATTGTCTCCTCCTGTGGGTACTGCCAAGGAAAAGGCCCCCGGGGAGGGATTAACGGGAATTCTGGGAGGCTGGAAGGGTGGGAATGAAGATCCCTGGATGGGGCAGGTGCGACATGGAGAAGTCATGGGATGATGTCAGGAGTGAGTGGTGCACATGGAGCGCTCTGGGATTATGGAATTGAGGTTGGAAAGACTTTCCGGATCATCCCAACGCCACCAGCGACATCCCTAAAATGTGACCCCAGCTGACCTGCAGGAGCTTAAAAATTCCAGTGGTCTTGGACAGGACCAGGAACAGGATCAGGGACAGGATCAGGGTCACAGAAAGGTCAGGGACAAGGACATGGACAGGGAAAAGGACAAGATCAAGGAGATGGAAAAGGTCAGGGACAAGGAGAGGGAGAGGGACAGGGAAAAGGTCAGGGACAAGGACATGGACAGGGAAAAGGACATGGACAAGGTCAGGAACAGGGAAAAGGACAAGGTCAAGGAGAGGGAAAAGGTCAGGGACAAGGACAGGGAGAGGGACAGGGACAAGGACACAGACAAGGTCAATGTCAGGGACAAGTCCAGGGACATGGATAGGGACAAGACTCGGTGAGGGACAAGGCCAGAGAAAAAGGATAAGGAAAGGGTCAGGGAGAAGGGTGGGGACAAAGTCAGGGACAAGGACAGGAAAATGGATAAGGACAGGGCCAGGGAGAAGGTCAGGGACGGACAGGAAAATGGATAAGGACAGGGCCAGGGAGAAGGTCAGGGACAGGGACAAGGACATAGACAAGGACATGGACAAGGACAGGGAGAAGGACAGGGAGAAGGACAGGGAGAAGGTCAAGGACAGGGACAAGTTCAGCGACATGGATAGGGACAAGACACGGTGAGGGACAAGGCCAGGGAAAAAGGATAAGGAAAGGGTCAGGGAGAAGGTCGGGGACAAAGTCAGGGACAAGGACAGGCAGAGGGACAGGGAGAAGGTCAAGGACAGAGTCAGGGACAAGGTCAGGGAAATGGATAAGGACAGGGCCAGGGAGAAGGTCAGGGACAGGGACAAGGACATGGACAAGGACAGGGACACGGATACGGTCAGAGACAAGGCCAGGGAAAAGGAAAAAGACAGGCTCAGGGAGAAGGTCAGGGACACAGCCAGGGACAAGGACAGGAAGACAGACAAGGTCAAGTATTTAAGGTCTCTCCCAACCCAAAACTTCCGATGATTCCATAAAACCGGAGCTGAATGTTGTGTTGGGATTTGAGCTTTCCCTGCTGGATTTTCCATCTTTTCAATTACATTTAGGGGAAAAAACTGTTTGGAAAATCAAGATTCCACCAGGACAGGCTTCCAAAGGTACCTTGAGGAAGATGGTCTGGAGCTTCCCGCAGTTCCGGCCGCAGCAGTTGGGGATGTTCCGGGAATACAGGACCTGGTGGGCCGGGATGCGGGCAAAGGCCACACGTTTGTACCCCTGGAGCATCCAGATGACAATGTCCGGGAGGCTGTTCTGGGGCTGGAAAACACAAATCCACAGGATCCCGTCAGGAGAGATCCACCAGCACAGCCCAGAATGGGATCGTGAAATCATGGAATGGGTTGGGTTGGGAGGGATCTTATCCCAGATGGATCCAACTTCATCCAGCCCAGCCTTGGGCACTGCCAGGGATCCAGGGGCAGCCACAGCAAATCTGGGAATTCCAGCCCAGCCCCTGCCCACCCTCCCAGCCAGCAATTCCTTGCCAAGATCCCAGCCCAATCTCCCCTTTCCCAGTGGGAGCCATTCCCTGGCTCCTGTCCCTCCATCCCTTGTCCCCAGTCCCTCTCCAGCTCTCCTGGAGCTCCTGCAGGGACTCTGAAGATTCCCTGGAGTTTGATTGATTCCCTGGAGATTGATTCCTTCTCCAGGGGAACATTCCCAGCTCTCCCAGCCTGGCTCCATGGCAGAGGGGCAGAATTCCCCCTATTTCTGCTGTGGGATCTGCTGGAGCACGCAGAACTTCCCCCCCACCAACATTCCAAGTCTTTCTCCCACGGCTGCTCCCTATCCAGGAGTTGACCGCAACCCATCCATGAGCAAGACCAAACTCAACCATCAGACCAAAATCTAGCACCGTGGGAGAATCCATGGATTTGGGAGCCGGGATGGAACATCCCCCCCGCTTGCTTCCCACCACAACCACGATGGGAAAACCAGGAAGCGTCACCTCCTCCGCCATGGCCCGGAGCCGGCACAGCCAATCCTCCGCCTGATCCAGGATTTGGGAAAGGCTGGAATTCTCATGCTTGAGCCTCAGGGCCACCTTGAGGATCTGTTCCAGGTGGGTGCTCCGGAAGCGGAACAGGTTCTGATCCAGGTGGGTGCTGGACGCTCTCCCCAGGACATCGGGAAGCTTCAGGCTGCAGGGATAGGCAGGAATCAGGGATTGGGTTGGATTGGGATGGACCTTGAAGGTCATTAAGGGCTGTAAATTGTCACTGATGATCACCACTGGTGATTAATGGTCATTAGTCGTCATTAATGATCACCAATCACCATCAATGCTCTTTAATGATCCTTAAAGGTCATTAATGGTCACCTGTCATCATTAATGGTGATTAATAGTCATTAATGGTCACCAATCATCATCAAAGGTTGTGAATGGTTGTTACTGATCATTAATGGTCATCAATCATCATTAATGGTCATTAAATATCATTAAAGGTCATTAATGATAATTAAAGTTCATTAAGGGTCACTAATGGTCATTAATGGTAACCAATCATCATGAATTGTTAATTAATGGTCATTAAAGGTCATTAAAGGTCATTAAAGGTCACCAGTCATCATTAATGGTGTTTAATGGTCACTAATGTCACCAATCATCAATGGTCATTAATGGTCATTAATGATCATTGCAGGTCATTAATGGTCACTAATCATCATTAATGATCATTAATCCATCCCAATTTCCCCCCCCCAATAGCTCATCCAACTTCTTGTGGGATTTTCCAGCCTTTTTAATTGGTTTTTCCATATTTTCAGCAAATTTCCAAGGAATTGAGAAGCCAACTAAGATATTTGGGAATGGGAAGAGCAAAAGAGTTTCAAACCAAGGCCAGAATTCTCCCGGGAATCAGGATGGGAATGAGCCACACCCACATTTTAATATCCATTATCCAAGCTCCTGGAAAAATGGATCAGGTGCCAAACTGGGAGGTTTTCCTGTAAAATTCAAGGATTTATGGATCCGCTGCTATAAATTAACTTCCTGCTCCCGGCTCCTGAGCCACAAATCAGGATTTCCTCCGGAAAAAATAGATGGAGAGAAAGATAAATTTATTTTTAGGCTGTGCAGAGGTTTGGAAGGAGATTTTTTAAGGATGCAACATTCTCACCTCGGGAATTGGGATTGTAAATCCCATTTTTTTATTGCAGAGAAATAGGGAGAACATGGAATTATGGAATGGTTTGGGATTTTCCACACTCCTCAGTTGCTCCAAGCCCCATCCAGCCTGGCTTTGGATACTTCCAGGGATGAGGATTTGGAGTGAGGGGGAATGAGCAGGGAAAAGGTGGGAAAATGGGAAAAAAGGGAAAAAAGGGGGGGAGGGAAAGGAGGGGGAGAAGGGAAAAAGGGAAATAAGGAAAGAAAGGAAATAAGGACAAAGAAAGGGTGGGAAGGAAAAAAGAAAAAAAGGGGAGAAAAGGCAAAAAGAGGAAAAAAAGGGGGAAGAGAATAAAAGGGGGAAAGACAAAAGAAGGAAAAACAGGAAAAAGAGAAACAAGGGAGAAAAGGAGGAAATGGGAAAAGGGGAAAAGAGGGGGAAATGGAAAAAAGGGGGGGAAGTGGAAAAAGGAAAAGCATAGAAAAAAAAGGAGAAAAGACAAAAAAATGGAAAGAGGAGTAGGGGAAAGGGGAGAAAAGGAAAAATATTAAAAGAGAGAAAGAAAGGGGGGAAAAAGAAAGAAACAGAAAAAAAGGGAGAAGGGGGAAAAGGAAAAAAGAAAGCAAAAAAAGGGAAAAGGGGGGAGAGGGAAAAAGAGGAAAAAGAGGGGAAAGGAAAAACTGAAATAAGGGAAAAAATGAATAAAAGGAAAGTGGGAAAAGGTGGGAAAAGGAAGGAAAAGGGGGAAAGGGGAAAATGGGGAAAAGAGGGAGAGAAAATAGAAGAAAGGAAAAAAGGTGGGGAAAAGGAGGGAACAAACAAAAAAAGGGATAGAAAGGAGGGAACAAACAAAAAAGGGATAGAAAAGGGGGAAATGGATGAAAAAGTGGAAAAAATTAGGAGAAATGGGAAAAAAAGAGGTAAAAGAGGGGAAAGGGGAGAAAAGAGGGGAAAAGGGGGAAAAAAGGGGGTGAAGAAAGGAGAAGAGGGGCGGAGGCAGTGTTCCCTTCCAAAACCAAGAAGAAACATCAGGAAGGGTTTCCCATCCCGAATTCCCAAAGTACCTGCAGTCGGCAATGACGTCATCGAGCAGTTGGGACCCCAGGGCCTCCAGCTCGACCGGAGAGCAGTTGGATTTCAGGGCCACATGGATCTTCTCCAGGTTGGCTTCCTGCAGGAAAAGTGGGGATCAGGAGTTGAGGAATCACCCGGAATCCCATCCCCTTATCAGGATATTCCCAGCAAGAGATTGGGAAAACTCCCAGGGATCAGAGATTCCACTCTGGGTCTCAGCAAGGATCTGCATCCAAATGTTTGGAGCTCCAGGGGAACCAACAGGGAAATCCAACGGGAAACCTCAGAAATCACTCAGGAGCTGAAGGACGGCCCCTGGATCGCTGGAATTGTCTCCAGGCTGAACAGGCTTGGATCAACCTGACATCATGGAAGGTGTCCCTGAACATGGAATGGGATGGGATTTAAGGTTTCTCCTAAGCCAAACCATTCCAGGATGGAATGGATGCTCTGGGAAAGATGGGAACATTTACTTGGAGAAAGGAAAATTCCTGGGAATCTCAGAGTCCCTGGAGGGGCTCCAGGAGAGCTGCAGAGGGACTGGGGACAAGGCCTGCAGGGACAGGAGCCAGGGAATGGCTCCCACTGGGAAAGGCGAGATTGGGCTGGGATCTTGGCAAGGAATTCTGGGTTGGGCTGGAATTCCCAGATTTGCTGTGGCTGCCCCTGGATCCCTGGCAGTGCCCAAGGCCAGGTTGGACACTGGGGCTTGGATCAACCTGGGACAGTGGGAGGTGTCCCTGCCCATGGAATGGGGTGGGAATGGGATGGGATTTAAGGTCCCTTCCCACCCAAGCCATTCTGTAATTCTATTATTCCATGAAGTTCCTCATCCAGTGGATACACAACTATGTCACCAGACATTCCAGAGCCTGAAGATGGCCTCTGTCCCCTCCCGGTGTCCCCAGGATGTCCCCAGGGATGTCACTGGACACTTCTCAGCTTGGAGGTGGCCTCTGTCCCTTCCCAGTGTCCCCGGGATGTCCCCAGGATGTCCCGGTCACTCCCCAGCCTGGAGGTGGCCCTGGTCCCCTCGTGGTGTCCCCAGATGTCCCCAGGATGTCCCCAGGGATGTCACTGGACACTTCTCAGCTTGGAGGTGGCCTCTGTCCCATCCCAGTGTCCCCGGGATGTCCCCAGGATGTCCCGGTCACTCACCAGCCTGGAGGTGGCCTCTGTGCCCTTTCAGTGTCCCCAGGATGTCCCCAGGGATGTCACTGGACACTTTCCAGCCTGGAGGTGGCCTCTGTCTCCTCTCAGTGTCCCCAGGGATGTCCCCCAGGATGTCCCCAGTCACTCCCCAGCCTGGAGGTGGCCTCTGTCCCCTCCCAGTGTCCCCAGGGATGTCCCCAGGATGTCCCCAGGATGTCCCCAGGATGTCCCCAGTCACTCCCCAGCCTGGAGGTGGCCTCTGTCCCATCCCAGTGTCCCCGGGATGTCCCCAGGATGTCCCCAGGATGTCGCGGTCACTCACCAGCCGCTCAGCCGCGTGGAGCAGCAGGTTCTGGGCGTCCATGCGGTGGCCGATGTCCTCCCAGTAGGAGGAGAGCACCACCACGGGCTTCACGTTCCCCCAGGGCAGGTAATAGTAGTGACAGCCTGGGGGACAGCACGGCGTCACCTCGGGATGCTGGGATAACGGGATCCACCCCTCGGGAGCGGGGATGAAGGGGGAAGAGTGTGATCGGGATGGGAATTCCCCTCAGAATGTGTTTGGGAGAAAGATGGGAATGGTGTTCCCCAAATCCTTGAGATCCCACAGAGATCCAATGGGATCTGACTCCACGGCTCTGGCAGTGAGACCAGAAACCAGCTCAGCATTCCTGGTGGGACGAGATGGGAGCCAGGAAAAGACGCTCCCAAAAACCACCTCATGGAGCTGAGAGATGTCACAGCTTCCCTGCTCCTTCCCAGACAAATATTCCCCATGGATGAGGCAGGAAAACCCTCTGGAGATGTCTGGTCCAAGCAGGGACACCTTCACCAGGATCACCTGGACACAACCTCTGGCTTCCCTGGATCCCTGGGAGTGTCCAAGGTCAGGTCGGACATTGGGGTTTGGAATCACCGGGGGTAGTGGGAGGTGTCCCTAAACATGGATGGGGTTGGAATGGGATGGGATTCAAGGTCCCTTCCAACCCAAAGCATTCCAGGATTCTGGAGCCCCTCTGCTCTGGGAGAGCTGGGAATGTTCCCCTGGAGAAGTAATCAATCCAGGGAATTCTCAGAATCCCTGGAGGGGCTCCAGGAGAGCTGGAGAGGGACTGGGGACAAGGGACAGAGGGACAGGTGCCAGGGAATGGCTCCCACTGGGAAAGGGGAGATTGGGCTGGGATCTTGGCAAGGAATTGCTGGCTGGGCTGGAATTCCCAGATTTGCTGTGGCTGCCCCTGGATCCCTGGCAGTGCCCAAGGCCAGGTTGGACA